ACGTTGCCGCGGGAACGCGTTCACCTATCAGTTACTATGTTCTGTAACGTATTTGCCTATCCGTTTTCAACTTTAATCCTGGCAACCAAAGTTCCCCAATATTTTTTCTTTTTGTAAGCTAGGAAAGGTAAGGATGTAGTCAACGCCAGCAACTGTACTCAGCCGTACCTGGGGCTTGAGGATGGTCAGGATCTGCTGGTCGGTAAGGCACGAGTTCTCTCTCAGAGCTTTACACGGGCCTGGCTCAGATAAGCGAAGACCGCTCACTAGTGAAACCCTACACGGAGATTCCTAAATACATATTTAATTTATACAAAACTTTCACTTCACAATTTGTGTTATTGCACAAAATTTCACAATTAGTGTNACTGTAGTGTTGATGGAGAAGGGACTTCCCCAGCCAAAGTGGGTAAACACGCAATTCGCAACTCTTCATCTGGTCAAACTGACTCTAGTCAGCCAACCATTCGAATGTCTTAATGCACTACTGGCTATAAGGAACACGTTAATACAAAACTGGTACTATGTTACATTAAAATTATTATTAATAGTATATGCTTGTACATCTGGAGTTTAATAAGCCATTACATCGAGTACCCACTGGGCGAATCAGATAATTGTAAACTTCTGATGCTCGACGCCTCGGCAAGATGAGCTTCTCCGGCTGTTGTAACGTGCACGAATTTTGGAGAGAGTTCTTGTCTTCAAACAGGCGTCATTGAATCCGTTAACAACACTTGAAATAATATTTAACGTTATTTGTTACTCAGGGGACGGAGCACTCGGTAGCGTAGTTGGTTGGGGCACTATGCTACAAGCCGGAAGGTCGTGGTTTCGATTCCCGTTGAGGACATTGGATTTTTCAATTGACGTAATCCTTCCAGCCGCACTATGACCCTGGAGTCTTCTCAACCTCAAAAAGAAATAAGTACCATGAATCTTCCTGCGGGGTTAAAGGGCAGCCGGCGTATAAGGCTGGAAACTTCACTGCCATCTGTGAGACGATTGTCGAGATAATGTGGGATCCTCAACGTCTCACGACCCTATGGGCCTTCACTGTCTGTAACAGGGATAGCTTTTTTTATGTTTTTTTTATGTTACGTGAAACGGTGCTTGATTGCGAAAACAAAATGTCTGTTACTTCTGTAAGCAATGGGGAATCGTAGGTCTCAGAGGTCCTGTCATGTGACGTCATTATTTTGTCAGATGTTAAACACGCGAGTATCATACTCAAGCACAAGCGTCGCAGTAAAAAGACTACTTAGCACTTCGGGATGTGACGTCGTGTAGTCTGATAGAAGTTTACAGACGTTTCGAAGTATCGTACTGCATCCATCATCAGTATCTGCTTGCTCAATTTGAGTTACAACACTGAAGATGACGAAACAACGTCAATTTGAAACGCCAGTGAATTCCAGTAGACTGCACGGCGTCACATCGAAGAAGACAGCACTCTTCATAGTCACGGATTTGAGAACGTGAGTATCTCACATGGAACATAGCAAACCTGATGAGTGGTCTGAACTCACGCAGTTCGCCTCCGCGCAGGCGCATATCCGTTCTGCTGCCGTATTTTATCTTGTATGGGTTATATTGAGGCGTCCCTAGTCTGCAGTGACAGGACGATTCATGAATCAGTAATTGGAAGGGTTTTAAAAGGAATCGGCTGTAATCTAATAATAGTACCATTCTGGTATTTGCTGGAGGGACTGAGGAACACCACGGATAACCTTAGGATAGCCGCTACCCCACGCTGTCAGTTGCATTACCGTTGGTATCCATACTGAGTTACAGGCTAAGTAATTAACTTAATGGAGCAGAGCCATTCTTGAGAAGCTAAAATAGTTGCTCAGCAGTCTGTTTTCACCTATGGCCCCCCTCTGTTTCCTCTTGAGACAGATGACCCTCCCATTCAGTCTTTAAAATTAATTTTAGTATTACCATCCAACTGTATCCATCTGCCAATATTCCTCCTTCCCTTAGGTTTCCCTACAGAACGCACTCTTCGTCTCTCCAAATCATGCTCCCCATACACCTCACCCTCCTCCGTCTGTACATCCTAGCAATATTTGAAGCGCCTGATTATGTTGTTGGTTCAGGCACTATGCTAGCCGGAAGGTCGAAGGCTCGATTCCATATGAAGTTATTGGATTTTCACTTGACGCAATTCTTCCAGCCGCACTATGGCCCTGGGGTCGACACAGCCTCTAACACAAATGAGTATATCAGGAAGCTTTCTGCGGGTAAAGGGCGACTATAAAATGTAGGAGCCCCGGTGTCTCAAAAACCTATGGGCCTTCACGGCCTGTTACAGGGATAGCTTTACCTTACCTCACCGCAATCTGCGAGCCGATTATCTAGAAAATGTAGGAGCATCGACGTCCCACAACTATATGGGTCTCCACAGTCTATCACAGGGAGAGTTTTAGTTCACCTGACAACAAACTGTGAGCCGATTGTCTAGAAAATATAGAAGCTTCGACGCCTCACAACCCTATGGGCCTCCACGGCCTGTTACAGGGATAGCTTTGTCTTACTTCACCACAATCTGTGAGCCGATTATCTAGAAAGTGTGGTAGCCTCGACGTCTCACAACACTATGGGTCTCCGCGATCTGTTACAGACATAGATTTTTATCTTTATCATTGCGCAGTTTTCTTCAGTTTCCTAGTATGTCCTTCCTCATAGTTCCAAGCCTGTCCTCAATGATCCTCAGTCTGTGTTCTTCCCTTATTTTGAGCCACCGACTTCCACACACACAAAAGGAAAACAGTAAAATATTAATATTATTCAGTTTGTCGACTCGGATGTCGCTAACTCAATACACAAGACTCAGTGGCAACAGGTCCATCCTCGGTGCCTCGTCCGGGCTCTGCCACCCGGATCTCATTTCCTAGAGAAAAGGCAGGAGTAGCTTCAAGCTGACAATTCGCTTCCATCTAGATCCTGAGTCTATAATGCCTGGAGAATTACCTATACGTCCCCTATACACCCAAATCGCGTGATGCACAGACACATTATTGTAGCGTCATGCTATATTATAATACATTCATTAATTTTTGCTTTCCATCAGTACGATCTGTGTACAGGTATTATAAGTTAAAAGTTCAAAGCATGTTTCAGCCTTTCGAACATCGTCAGGTGCCCTACAAATCTCATATATTCCCTACATTGGCCAGTGTTTACATATGTGTTGCACGTGGTTACATGCCACTGTAATGCTTTGTACTTCTCTTAATTGCAATATTAAGACGTTAAATCTAAAATGTTTGGTTATGTTACATTATATCCTTAGTACTCTTATACCTCAATTATGATCGATAGATATAAATTGTTTTTCTGTCTGTAATATAATTTGTGCGCCGTGTTTTATTTTATCGTTGTTGCTTTTATTGTTGGAGTTGATGCTTCTGTGATCTAATACGTGACACGAAAAAGACCGGCAGTACAACACCCACCCACATGTAAACATTTCAGTGTAGGAGAGCGATTAATGGCAGATACACATACAATAGGAGTACGCGATAGCGTAGTTGGTTGAGGAGCTATGCTACAAGCTGGAAGGTCTCGGGTTCAAGTCTCGAGGAGGTCATTGGATTATTTTCAGTTGACCTAATCCTTCCAGCCACACTATGGCCCTGGGGTAGACTCAGCCTCTAACAGAATTGAGTACCAGAAATTAATTAAATAATTACCGCCATCTTGGAGCCAATTGTCTAGATAATGTGGGAGCCTCAACGTCTCACAACCCTATGGGTCTTCACGGCTTGTTACAGGGATAGCTTTACTTTTACTTACACGTACAGTAACTGACAACGACCGAAACACTGAAACTGCGATCACTTAACGAATGCCATATCAGTACATTAACTCACTTAACAGAAAGCAAAATAATAATAACAAAAAAAAGGTACACAGACACAGGCTATGTCGATTTATAAACGATATGCAAAGGAAACGTTGTTGCAGGAGGGCCTGAAGAGAAGCTGGATGTGAAGGGAGTGAGAAAACATGAAACGAGCGGCAGATGCCGCGTGTGTTCTCAGCTGCGTTCCGGAAATTTTACGGGGCCGTTTGAATTTTCACTTAGGTCGAGCAGTTGTAGAAGGCGCTTTGCGTGGAAGCATAAATCTGTTGTGCGCGCGTCCCGCTACTGCTGTATCGACGCAATTAATGTTTTCAACAAACAACACTTTTCACGTTGAATGCACTTTTCAATAGCATTTCAAGATTATTCAATAGAAATGTCAGATCAGTCCAGAACTGTTCCACTCCGTACACGTTGAGGAGATAGTAAAATGATGTTCGAAACCCAATCGAAGATTACCAAAGTCTTTTAGTTTCTTCTTGTTATAGTTCTTATGATTTTGGACACGAGGAGTCTGGAAACAAATGAATAAGGAATCTATCATTGTTTGCTTGAGGCCGTCAGGCTCGCGTTAAATATGAAACGACATGCAAGAGCAGAATTCACGAGTTGAACATCTGTAAGTCATATCAGAGCGCCAGAACGCATTTCCCAAATTAGCGAATTATATTTGTATATTTCATTTAACGACGATATATCAATAGCTGAGGAAAATAGCAAATTGTAGGATTATTACAGCAACTTGAATTGGGGAAAAATGCGTAAGGAATCGTTCTTGACACTATTCGGGGTACGGGAAAGGTGTTTGCCTGGAGGAACTGAGGAAAAGTATGAAAAAGTCCTCAGTGAGGTAAGATTGTCTCGGGGCGAAGAAGTGAATACGGGTCCTGCCGAACACAAGGCAGGAGAGTTAACCGTTTGACCGCTAAGTTGGCGTGGATGCTGCTAGACCCTGAGTAAGAGTGACCTCACAACACTGACCACGGCTGGCCAGGGAATTCCTTCGAGTCCGCCGGAGAAAGGCATCGAGTGGGAGGGGGTGGGGTGGGGGGAAGTTCCTCGGAGTGGGAGACAAATTTCTGATTGGTTGATCTGTTGATCAACGTATAGAAAGGATATCCCACACACAACATGAGGAGTTTTGTTTATTCAAACTTTGCATCTCGTGTTGTGCATATCGCCAGAAAGCTGATAGTAGCCAACTAGTGTACTGTGTGGCCATGAAGGACTGGATCAGTTTATTCGGCGTCTTCAGGGGGAAGTACAACTCCGTCAACAATGGGACGACGTCCACGGCGCAGCAGGCGTCTTGGCGCAGTGGACACAACAGCCTCCGCATCCAGAGACGCTCGTCGGTTTTCGTGAATCAGTTCTTCAAGGAAACTGGATCTGCGAAGCAGAGGAGGTTCAGGCCCAGATGTGAGTGTCCTTTCAGCAAAGATCTATTTTCGGTGGAGGGGGTCTTCCGACCACAGACCGCGAACCCGAAATGAATTTAAGCGTTGTTTTCGTCGGATGTGTAGCCTGGCGCATCCCTTCTTTCGAATTTCGAACAAATTAACGGATTTAACCAAACATGAAATTCAAGGTTACCACTGAGTTAATCAGAAGGAAGAGTGAATATATAAGAGATACGTTGTTCTCGCCGGGATCGTAATACTCGACGGTGGTGATAACCACGTACAAGACTGCAAGGTGTCTTAACTCAGGAGACCTGTTTAAATCGGTATTTATAATTTAACGCCTTAAATTAGAATCAATTCCAGCCAGTCGCTGTCCCATGTGTCGTTGCGCGGTATAGGACCGTTTCCTGACAGGTCAATATTAGGAGTCGTATACTCCATGTTAGGTGGGTCCCTTTTCAGCGTGGCATGGTGCAGGCTCAGGTTGCGAATGCAGGAGATGGCCGACAGATACGGAGTATATTACGAGTATATTAATAAGCAGTTGCAGACAGCCAACAAGGGATAGTCCTCCAGCTTTGTGGTTGGGCTAACGAACTCCTCACCGTAAAAAATAAACTTGTTACAAAGTGTCACAAAGGGCTTCGGACTTGGACGGGTACTTTGGATAAACGACAAAAGCGAAAGAAAATGGACATAGATTTGGGACATGGATTGTAAAATGGATCTTAGACAGGATCGAGTGGTCTGGACTGGCTCCATCGGGCTGAGGGTAGGAACCAGTGAACAAGGTGTGGGACCTTCGGGTTCCATAAAATGCTGGGAATTTCTTGAGTAGCTGCACAGTTTGTGGCTTCTCGAGAAGGGGTGATTTCCATGTAGTTATACAGTTACGAGCCGTAAACCAGAGAAAAGACAAAGTGACGGCTGTACTTAACAAAGCGCAAGTCATGATGACTTGTGGGGTGTGGAAACAGTTTGATGCATTCTTGACCTCGGCATTAGATAAAGGTGAATGGCCAGTTTCACGCCCTGGCAGATTTATTCCCACGGACAGGTCCCTGTTACACATTTGGTTTTAAAACCTGTCTGGATATTGTAAACAGAAGAGTTCCTTGCTTTTGTTAGTCGGGAATAGAACACAAATTCCTCCGTCATCGAACCCGTAATGTATTGAGTATACTGACTGAGCTACGCCGGCTCTGTGGACGTTGATACGAAGAAAATAATCTCATATGTGTGGATGAAATTTCCTTAGGTGAGCTGGTCCCATAAGCGACTGTGACCAGGAATTTGGGTTTGACCCGAAACGTGTCATGGAACAATGAGTAGATCGTGGAACGTTTTTCTTGCAGTTTGCAGGACTCGATCCGTCACCGTGAAGATGAAAAACGCAGTGTACTAAGACGTGGTCCGCATACCGGAGTGTACACTTTCTTTACAGAGCGGACAGGGTTCGAGATCCTGCGCTTACATACATTCCTTAGTCTCACTCTTCGAAAACAGTTCATTCTTCATCCACGAGAAATATCGCAAATGATAAGTAAAAACTGTGGCTGATACAGCATCATTACGTAGCCCTGATATCACTGATTTGCGCTTCACGTGTGATCGGATACACTGAACGAAATGAAGGTTGGATTTCACGTGCTCAGTAATCAGGTATCCGTGGAAACAGGTTGGTACGATACAGTAACGGAACCGAAGAACCCCACGTGGAGTAGGAGGCGACGAAAAGGGAGTCCAGTGCCTGCGGGTATAACTCTGCCATCCTCTTCCTGGGGGATATAACTACAGGGACCTGGCCCTCCAGGTTGTGGGAGTCTCGTACCTGAGACAGTAATATGTGGTTATGAGTCAAGAGAGACTCGGACCTAAGAATGACTGCGCTGGCGAGTACCAGCAGCAATTGTAAATGTTAGATCAATTCTCTCGTCAGAGAGGGTGTTACATAAGGACTGTGACCGCAAGCGTATAGTTGCAAAAAAAAAATCGCCGGTCGTGGGTCTCAATGAGCCTGTCGCCAAGACGAACTGATTGGTGGTAAACCGCCAGTTGTAACGTAACGCTGAATCTGGAAGCATTGAGATATCATTGGTTTCTACAGTTCAGTTACTGTGTAATACCAGTCTGTTTCACGGATACCTGATTTTTGAGTACTTTGCCTAGCAGCGCTGATCTAGCGCTTGATTCAATGTGGGAGACTCCTACAAACATTTGGTACAGCGACTGTTCAGCTGGGGAAAAACAAACGCCGGCGTCCGGCCTGTGGCCACACCACAGCATCGGTCTGGTCGCACTATCTCAAATGTCGGTATTGCCTCTGTGCTTTATGTTTGCGGTTCTTGTTCCTGCATTGAACCACCGCCCGTCGGCTGGTCCTGTTGTCGGACTCTGAGCGTCGGTGCACTCGTACTCTGGGTTTGCATCCCGACGGCTGCATGCATGTTTCCACTGACTTCCATTCCGTGTTTAAACAGGTGCAATATTCTCTCGAAACGTGTGATCAGGGATGTGCATTTGTTTCTATTGGAGGACCACATGGCTAGCTGTAGAGGTCATACACCTTTATCGATGGACAACTGCAAGCTTTCAATTTGTATCTGCATTTGTACATAACGGGGCAGGCGGCAGCTACATGAATGAGGTACTATGCTCTAGGCCGGAAGGTCGCGAGTTCGATTCCCAGTGAGGTCTTTGGGTTTTCAAATTGACCTAACCCTTCCAGCCGCACTATGACCCTGGGGTCGACTCAGCGTCTGACAGAAATGAGTACCAGGAATCTTCCTGGCTGTAAAGGGCGGCCGGCGCATAAGGCTGACAACCTCACCGCCAACTGTGAGCCGATTGCCTAGAAAATATGAGAGCCTCGACGTCTAACAACCCTATGGGCCTTCACGGCCTGTTACAGGGACAGATTTACCTTGCCTTTTTATTTGTACATAACGTGTCTTTAAATAAAAGCAAGACGACGGATAATACCCAGAAATATAATATTTGTATTAACGTGGTATCGTCACAGACTTTTGGATCTTACTGAATTAAGTTATCGGATGCGACCGTGGGCCGCCTACGCTAATCCACACAGGAAGGAGAACAAACTGCCACTTCTTCACTCCCCGCTTGCGGTTTCGTCCGAGTCGCTACGCGACGCATGTGGCTGTCCGACGCCCGACTGTGAATTTGCTGGCGTACACGCAGTTCCATCACATGGATGAGTTGCTGAATCGGCCTGCGGGTTTACCGCTCATTGTCGACCGTCATGCTGCTGTCTCTTAACACAGTTCTAAGACGCATTTTTGTTTATTTTATCTTTGGGAAATGTAAGTGGACGACTTCAGTTGAGGCAATATCTGCGTGTGACCTAGTAACGGCCCCTAAACCGCTGGATATAAATTTTTTGAAATTACGTATGGGAATATGTCTCTAAAACATTTTCAGACGATACTAAGTTTGGTTAAAATGAGACAAAACCAAAGCACATTTTACTGCAACACATTTATTTATTTTCATAAGCTATTTAACGAGGGTTTCGGTATTGAAATTATACCGCTTTGGATGATAGAATAGTAATGAATAATGAATTGGAAGGAATCTGGAAGGAAGTGATCGTGGCCCATCCAAGATACTATTCCGGAAATTTCATACGCGCATTATTGAATACAGAGAGAACCTAAGTCAGAATAGTCTTATGTTCTGGCCGAGATTTGAGCCGAGAACCTCCCGTATTCGAAATCATTAGGCTGCATGAGATATACTGTCACTGACGGGGTTTGGATTGGTGAATGGATTTGTTGACCACTTCTACATAACATTATGAACTTCAAGTGAGTACAGCGCCTCTGCTAATCTCAACACTTTACAAATCACCACAGCACCTGATAGACCTCTTCCAGTCTAATGTATCTTAACCAACCGTTCCCTAGCAACGGCTTCTAACAGTGGAGATCCTTTAGCTTCTCGTGCTCTAGTTCTATCTTCACAGCCTAACGTGCAGAATTCGTTTCTCAACTAACTCTTTTCTTCACAGCCTCCCCCTTGCAAAACTGCATAATAACTCAACAGTCAGAGTCAGAGTCAGAGTCAGAGTCAGAGTTAGTATTACTTTACGACTGGTGGTTTATCGCCGATCAGTTCGTCTTGACGCCAACCACCTTAAGAGTCAGGCTACCATTTTTGTCAACTGAAACCTTGCGATCATAGTCCTCATGCAACATACTTTCTGACGAGAGGATGGGTCTGTCGTTTACAATTGCCGCTAGCCTTCACCAGCGCGGTCATTTTCGGTTCCAAGTCCCGCGAGATTCACGACCGTATTTCACTGTCTCAGATTCGAGACTCTCTGAACCTGGAGGACCAGGTCCCCGTATTTACATCCCCCAGGAACAGGGTGGCCCAGTTATACCTCCAGGCACTGGGTTCCCTTTTCGTCGCCTCCGACGACACGCAGAGCTACGGTGGAGGCATTCGAACCCGCGTCCACACGAGCATGCCTAACAACTGAACCTTGTGCTTTGCTTGTAACATCTCGGCACGCACCACATATATAACACCCCGTTTCCAACAGTAACTCTATTTTTCCCAAGTATTCGTTGTAGCAGGAACGTTTTTACTGAGCCGTTTCCCAGAAACGATCCTTGTTTACAAAGTCACTGCTTAGCAACGGGTTTATATGCCACAATATATATGGCTGTCTGTCTGATAGCTACAACTAGTGAGCCATTCGAGTGAGGTATACGAAATTTTGTTGATACGTTAATGAACTCTATTTGTAAGAGATATTAGTTTTCATAATGCTAAGGCCCAAAGAACACTTGCGCAAACCGTGAGCACTGTGGAAGATCTCCAGGTTTGCAACAGTCTTACCGCATTTGGATTAAGAAAACTTAGTTGATAGGCCTGCAGTGATTAGCCCACCGCCTGGACGACCGTGTAGTTTGGAGTTCGATTCTCGGCAAGGGCAATATTTGTACTTTTCTTCACGATGACCCGGACTCTGAGGCCCGTTGTACTCGT